TTGGCCTTTATTGTGCTCATACAGATATAATTGATTATTTCTGTTTAGTTGGAATTCAGTGAATGATTTTTCTGACGTACAGAAAGGATTAGAAGCAAGCTAGCTGTCTTCCCTAACATTAAACAGCTTATAAGAACAAGAATTAAAATATTCTTGTACCCAAGGAATAAATCTAATAGACAAGGAAATGCTGTTTTAACAAACTATACTTAATTCTCAGAGGAGGACTGCACTGAATACTATTATATAGTGATTTTTCAGAGCTTTGAGACTTGGTTATTAATTTTTCTGTAGCGATTTTTCCATTTATAAATTCTGATCATCCTGCATGCTCAATGCTTTTCTTAAGTGTATAAAAATACCCTTTAAATATCTACTGTTGATAGGTTGCTACAGCTATATTTATAAAATAAAATATGGATAAATTAACCTTCAGTTCACTTACCTGCATTGACATTAGAGCATCATTGTTTACTACTGCTTTCACACCACCTGAGCCTCTGACTATATTCTGGGTCAAAGAGGCTTGCATTGAGGCATTCCAATATTCCATGAAAGACTTGAGATGTGTATTTAGTACAAACAAAGATAGGAATGCTTTATGAAAGATCTCTTGGGAAGGCTATTAAGAAATATGCAAAACTGCATTTTAAATAATTGCTAGTTTCTAGATCAAACCAACAAAAACAAGGAATAGTGTCCAGTCACAAATCTTTTTTGTTTGAAGTCGTGCACAAAGGCAATAAAAATAACTCACTTGAAAGATAAATAATTTTGTAATAGGCTCTCATCATTGGTAAAGTTATGTTCTGGAAAACTTTTGTCCTACTGAACTCATGTATCTTTGAAGGCTAGACCAGGAAATGATTATAACCAGTGTTTCTTGTAACTAAGCCAGAGATGACTATTTTTAGTGTGACTTCCTTAACTTTTACTGTCCTTGCTTTTATCAGTTTAAATCACATCTCCAACATTATTTGCAGGTAGAAAATTTGTATTTACAAAAACTTATGAAAATGTCTTTTGAAATTATGAAAACGATTACATCCCCTTTTAGAAAATAGTCTGTTCATATGCCTTTATTCACTGAACATATTAAATAAGCAAAATTTATTCTAAACTTTTCTTTCAATATTAATTGTTATTAAATGTTTAGTTCCCAGCTTTATTTCTCACTAATACACTTCTAAAGCTACTGTCAAACCTCTACATACATTTTTTGAATGCCTCCTGAAATGTAGTTTCAGAGTTATGTATGTCAGCTGTACAATATTCAAATCCACCAGAAACATTTCTTTTTCACCTTTTTTGTTTTTCTTCTTAATTCCTGCTTCTCAGGAATTGGATGGTCTGTTGGTAATTTTGGGGGAGGAGCTGTGGTAGGACTTTGCTCTACCTGATCCAGTTTTTTCAAAATCTGATGAAATCTGCCTTCTTGTTGCCTGAAGTCATATTCTACACTATGGAAAACATGCAGAAAAGAAGTTAGTAAATGTACAATTACTTATTATAATAAAGATAGAAATATTGAAAACTTTTTTGTATTTAACTAAAAAGAATATTTGGTCATTGAAACGGACAGTTTGTATTAGGGAAGTTGACTCAAATGCAAGAAATCATAGTCTATGATGTCTTGAGAAGAGTCCTATCCTCCATCCTTTATTCAAAGGAGACATCTTTACTTATGTGAAGGAAGGATTCTAGGATTGCCCAATCTGTTTTTGGCAGGACTATAGTAAATGCACAGGTGGGAACATCTATAAAACACTAACCCTGAACCAGTGCTTAATACCATTAGACAACATTTTAATTAATTCCAGTGACAGTTCATATATATGCTTCCTTGTCACATGATATAAACAAATACAAGATAAGGCAAACTTGCTTATCTATCAACAGGTAGATACATTTTGTTTGTTGTTTTTTTAATATTATGTTTATATAATCTGTATATAATGTATATGTTTAAATAACATTGTTTTTCTGGTTACAGTATTAGAAAATCTTGGTAATGAAAATGTGGCCTATACCATACGTTTTAGTTGTGCTTAGTTTAGTGTAATCCACATGTTTTGCAGGATGAAGAAGCTTCTATTGATGATTTCTTTTTTATTACAAAGTAAAATGAACTGTCACATAAAGGACTGTACTCCATTGTTAGTAAATGAATTGTTTTTTCCTTTAATAGGCAGTAAATCCTTAATCTTGTGAATAGGCAATAACTTGCGTCAAAGAACGCTGTACTATTAGGCTATTTCAGCCTACTTTGTTGCTCGAGAGAGATGTCAAGAGTTGACATGCATGCATTAATAATAAACAGGTTAACTATAAAATGCAATTACTTGCAGTTACTATGTTTATTTATTTATTTAAATAAATAATTTCTGAGTTGGCAGAGCCATGGATTAAAATATTGACTACAAAATATTTTTCAAAACGATCAAAATAATTTCATTTTGTTTACATTATAAGCCCTAACACTTTGTCAACACTCCCTTGCAGTAGGCATTTATTGAATCAAATAGTAAGTCTTCCTGCCATAATATAAAATCAAAACACAACAAATTCAGGGAGACAGAATTAAGAGGCAAGAAGTAACAGCGACAATAATGAAAATTGTTTCTATAAATTTTTGGTGCCTTTTCTTCACATTCTTCATTTGCTTGTCATTAGGCATATATGTGCAAACCTGTTCCATGCTGCTTGAGTTCATGAAAAACAGTACTGCAGAAGAAGGCTGGGTCATCCTCCTCCTCAGTGCTTTTTATGACTTACGCCTTCAATTTGCCTTTAAGACTTATTACAAGAATACATGTGTCAATTGCATTTCAGGGACTCTAGCAGGCTGTAACAAGATCATACTCAGATACTTATTTTATATATATGGAACAGGTTACGGCCTTACAGATTTTAGACCACATGTGTTGTTTAACATGTTTTATTTTGTAGAAATGTAAATGGTGATTCCAGTGGTGTCCTCTTTTCTTTGTTTACTGATGAGCATAAAGATCCTAAAGATGGCAAAAAGGGTTTGCAATGTTCTGTTCTTTCACATAATGATCTCTGTGACTATTAACAGCTGCAATGCACAGATTAACAGATTGTGGGCAAGATTACCCATGCTACTACACTTGTTTGCTCTTTTAATAACTGTACTTTGTATGCGTACTTTGTAGCAGCTAAACCTCTTAAAGCATATATGGGAGTTAAACATCAAATGAGAAAATATGTAAATCTTGGTGCCCCAATAGCTCCCTCTTCTACATAGCAATAAAGCAGTTTATCATTTGTAAAAGGTTTCCAGGTATTCTAATTGTAAATAATAGGTATGGGAAAAATGTTGCACTACATAAGTCAAAATTACTTAAAAAAAAAGGTGTAGGATTTCCCACCTTCTTGTTATGGTGATAACCTGTGTAGCATGCAAGAGCAGTTATTTAGGCACCAAGATTTACATCATTCCTCATTTGATGTTTAGCTCCCATTTGATGTTTTCCTCAGCTTGTTGCTCTGAATATCATCTTGAATTGATCCATATGGTCAGTCCTGGCTTTTAGTTCTCTAAATAATAGGCTTCAAATAAATTGTTTGCTTGAACTGTGGTCATCTTGCAAATGTAAGGGCCTCATTAGACAATCTGGTAGAGGCATAATAGGATCCGATGGACAATTCATACAGTTGTGTCTCCTGCCATGCCACAGGCACGTGGCAGGAGGCGTGACTGTGGATTCCAGTATCAGATCCAATCACTCCTGATTGTTGGTGCAGGAAGAGCTTAGGTTTATGATCCCAGGCTCTCCCTGCGCTGGCAAGTGGCAAACTCCCATGGCTGTGAGTCCTGCAACTAATGAGGCTTGTGGCCATGACAATGCCCTACAAGTTGCCGCATCTGGGAGTGCTGCAGCTGATGAGGCTTGCAACTGTGGTGGTGCCCCATGCATTGCCATTGCTGTGAGCCCTGTCAGCCGTGGGACTCACAGCTGTGGTAGCGCACAGTGCACTGCTGCAGCTGGCCATGCATTCAGTTAATTGCTTGATAAGAATGAGCCACAAAGTTATTGCACATTTTTTGTGGAATAACTCTGTGGCTTATTCCTTGTTTTATTACGCCATTAGTTGATTAAACATGTGGCTGGGTTACAACTTAAGACATGATTAACTGGTTAATCATGTCTTAAGTGTAACATGTAGGTGGGGACTGAAGTACAATATATTAATCTGTTTCAAGCTTTTTTCCCCCCACAGTACTCCTGTTAATGCTAACTGAAGCTAAGTGTGCACATTGTTAGTGGAATATACCTGGCTATGTTTTCAGAAGGCATAATCTGCTGAGTTAGTTTCTGATAATTTAAGTATGCCAATTTCTACTAGCTAATTATTGTAGCTTTTTGTTTAAATAGTATAAATTTCTTCTAAGGACCCAGGATAGCCTTGGGTCAGAGCAGGCTGCAGGCAGCTGACTTTCAACTTGCTAGTGGAAGAGGAGCCTGGAATCATGATCCTAGGTTCCCCCTGCACTGGCAAATAGAAAGGGTATGATTGAGATCTGATCATTGATCATAGAATTGTGCCTCCTGCTATGCATGTGTGGCTTGACATCAGGTATGGTTGTTGAGATCAGATCCCATTGAGCCTTTAAATGAATGAGTCCCAGGGTCTTGGTGACCTGAAAGCTAAAGAAAAGAAGAAACAGCTGCTTTAAGTATGAACTGTGAAAGATGATAGGTCAGATAATCTTCCAAAAATTCTGATGTGTGAAAGAGACAATTTAATTAAGAGGTGAATCCTATATAAACTTTTGGAATCTTCACAGGCATGGTTAACTAGTTGATTTTTTTTAAAGACCTATATAAAGTTGATGTGCCAGGAAACCTGGAGATTGTGATAGAAAGCTATTTTAACTTGCAATTACTGGAGGATTAGCTTGCCATCTCTTTAGGAAAACAAACAAAAGAGCAAATATATATTTTATTTAACTTCAGAAGACAAAAGCAATTAATCTAAAGCGGTGGTCTCCAACCTTTTTAAGTAGGAGATCACCTTTTGGCGTTTAAAAGCAACCCAAGACCTACCATGCTTCACTCTCACCCCTCCTCCCCTTCCCTCCCCACAGGCCAGCAGGTAAGTCTCTGGGGAGGGAAGAGGGAGTAGATCAAGGCAGAGGAAGAAAAAATTATTTGGTGGCACACCCGCACAGCAGGGAAGTCCCACTTGGCTGGGGCCCCATTCACTCCTGCTACTGCCTCTGTGGGGGCCTTAATCTAATTCCCACCCCTTCCCTCCCCCATGGACTGACTTGCTGGCCTGGCATGCACACAGGCACTCATCCCCCCACCCCAGCCTTGGATCGGCTCCAAGACACTCTGAGATCTACTGGTGGATCGAGATCCACTGGTTGGTGACCACTGATGTAAAGTGTGAATGTATAATTTGAGCTGTACTTCAGGAAACCAAACAAATTTTACTGTTACCATTCAGTACTTCAGTCACAAATTATTGAGAATTTCTCTTTTATTTTAAGGTAAGTCATAATCTGGATGTTGCAAAAGAAACTGCAAAAATTGATGTTTGCACAGCACCAGAAAACTTTGTACAATGGCTCAAGATGTCAAATTACGATTTGCAGAATCATTAACTGAGAAGAAGCAGTTAACAAACTGATAACTTTCCACATCAATATTTTTATGTAGTCTATAGTATATTTTGGTGCATCTGGTTTTCTGCTGATCTGACTAACACTCATTCACCTGTGCCAAATAAGAATAACTTCTTCAAGAAATAGAAAATACTGCTAAGTCCACTTCAAGATTTGTTGCAAAAGTTGGTGTTTTATATAAGCAATAAAAGACTGCAATGTGAGTGTAGGACTTTTATCACTAAATCAGGCATAGTCATCATTAACATCCATAATTTGCCATTAGAGTTTTGTTTTATAAGGTCTGTTTTAAATTAGCACAAATACATCTGCTCTGTTTCAAACTTCTTAGTCCACTAAACTGCAGAGTGATTTGAGTGAGGAAGATAGCATTATGTTCCCAAAGCTCTGAAGGACAGATCATTTTGTTCCTGCATAACATGCCAAAACAAAGCATTGCAGCACATGGTAAATTTTTATATGCTTATTTCTCTTATCTCTTGCCAAGTTTAAGCATGAATTAATTAACAGTACTGACATTTTAAATGTAATTAGACCGTACAGTTCAGAATAGTAGCAGAATTGACCACTCACAGAATTGACCAATTATTCACACCGTGTGCACACACGCCAGTTGACGTTGCTTTGTCGACTTGTCACTTGGTTCCAATTCTGAAGATTCTTCCCAAAGATAAGGGCTAGACACTTTGTTTTTTTTTTAATGAATGCTTAAATTTTGGAACATGGGTTTAAGGTCAAAGATGCTGCCAAGCCTCATGGCCCTACATTTGTCTGCTTTTGGCTTCCCTAACCAAATGACCATTT